CACATCCTAACGGTGAGCAACCCAATGCTCTTCCATTAAATAGGCAGGGGTGGGTTGTGTGTGTGTTTGTGTGTTAGCAGATGAGAAAAAAAGCCCAAATGATAACGAAAGCACTGGAGTCCTAGCCGTGCGTCTGACTTCTCAAGCTCAAGGCCTGCAGTACTAAAGACTGGTCTGTCAGCAGAAACAAACCTGCAGAAATGTGTGAGGTAAGGCTAGAAAGAGGTGGAGAGAGGTGCAGTACAGGAGCAAATTAAAGCAAAACTAGCACCAAAAAAGGAAGAAAAAAAAATCAAACCAGCTGTGTTTTTGAAAGACAGTTTTTCATCATCCAATCAGTCCTCTGGTTGAGCCTCAGGAGGGAGCTTCTCTTTGAAAGAAATCCCAGCCTCTGATTGAAGGTTATAAACAGTAAAAATTAAACTGATGTGAGGAGACAAGCTGAGACAGTGATGGAGCGGTGGAAGCCTAACCTTTCCCATCTTTTATTTTCTATCAGTTTGGTCGTCAGCAGAACATCCTTGCTCTTCTCTCTAGACTTTTCATATACACTCCTCTCAGTAACAGAGGAAAAAAAAACTGTAGCATTTCGCACCTCCCTCATTGCCTCCTGGTTCATTTTCACACACACACACATGAGCAGATGCTGATGCAGTCCTGGCTAACGAGCTGGTGCATGACCACACGTCTGCACCTGATTGTCTTCTGATGCAGTGAATAATTACTTTGCCAAAGGGCACAACTGTGATCCCTAGCTGGTATTTAAAGCCTTGTCAAAGAGTTTAAATCACCCCTCCTTTCCATCACTTCACATTGATAAGGCCAATACAGAGATTGCAGCCCTAATGTCTTCATAATCTTCATCATACCCTTCAGCTAAAACCACTGCATTGCTTGAAATTCCACGTTGACCTTATTAGTAATATCTGACCCTTTTCCCTGTCGCCTCTCCAGTCTTACCTCGCTTCTTTCTACTGTGGGTGGTGAGGCATAAAACCCTTAACCTTAGCGCTACTATTAGCATCTTAAAGCACTGCATTCTCTACAAAATGATGGTTTATATGTTTCAGAGGATATGTTGGTTTGATGGCACTGAAATGTTTCCTGTTTTATTAGTTTATTCAGCTATTCTTTCACTCCCCAACATGTTGTAGCCTAAGGCCATCTGTGCTTTTTCCCTGCAAGAACTCCTCCCAGATTGTTCCCTGATCCTCTCCAGTGCACAGCAATTTTCCAGCATCTTTCTTGGTGTCTGTCAGTGATGTGTGTCTGCTTTGCATTGTGAATCCCAGTTGCAGGTTGTAGTGCTCCATCATAAAAGAATCAGGGGGGTGTTGAAAGGCTGATCCTGTATTTGTCCTTGTCTGATGTACCACATCTCATATAATGCGCAGACCTGGTCCACCTGCTTGTCCACTCAACTTGAGGGGCTGCTCAGTTATAAACGTGGCACAGAACAGAGACTATTAAGATGCTGGAGCATGAAAGCGCTTCAGGTGAAAGTGTGTTTCTTTTCATGTGTAGGCAGCAGGAGCATCTGTGCATTTGCATTTATATTTGTGAAACCATGACCATGACCACCCAACTCACAACACCCAATAACTAAGAACACCGCTTGAATGCACTGGCATAAAAAAATAGAATAAACTGCAACAGGGTGAAAGTAGCATAAAAGTAACAAAAGCCCTAATCAGTGTCTATAACAGCTGCATTGTCCAAAATGGTGTGAGACACTAATGGTGTTTGTCACACAAAACACTGAAAGAGGCCCTTTATAAAACTGAAAATACATTTTGTTCAACCAGTGTAGACAGTCACTTCTCTTTCAATGCAATAAGCAGTGAGAAAAGCCAAAACGGAGAAGCTGTATGTTAAAAAACAAAGATGCCATGGAATTTCAAAGGGACAGTCGTGTCCAGGTAATGCTAATTAAATGCAATAATTGATTATAGACCACCTCTCTTATAATTTCTAGTAGCTTGAAGCTCTGGGATATAGATATGCACTGAAATAAAGCAATATTAACTTAAAATAAATTAGCAGCGAATACTGCTTAACTGTCTGGGAAGAACTAGAAATTTCTAAACTTTTAAGGGTATGTAAAAATTAAAAATTAATTGATAGAAAGTTGCCTTTCTAGCATAATTATCACATGACAGTTAACTGCTATAACACAATGTCAAACACCCAAATCTTCATCTTAAACTCTCCATGCCTTAATTTGTGCTTTGAATGCATTGGTGCATGACAACACAATTATAAAAGTAACAAAAAACTAATTTTCAAAGTAATGGGAAATCTAAATTTCAAACCAGTTTTTGCAAAGGGATTTGCAGGGAAATTTTGCATTGTTCACTTTATAAAATTATAATTTAGGGCATGTTATTCTATAAAAAACATGATACTAGGAAGATTAACCTAGTTCTGCTGCTTTAGGTTAAGCTTTGAGAAGGAGAGACCTATTTCTTATCAGGTAATGAAATCAGACTTTTAATGGAACCTCAGTTGTGTACTAACAAACTAATCCACCAGTCTTATCCCCACTGATGAGTTCAAAGTGTGAAGAAATGAGAGCATCCTGGTTTTTGCTTTGTCTTTGTCAACAGCCAGTGTGAGAGGTTGCTGAAGAGTGCAAGCATCATCTACTGGCAAAGAAAACATTCCGCTTTATGGCGTAGCATGTCATAAAGGAAAACAACTGATCATTCCCTGCAGGATACAACCTGATAATCCTGATATCCAAAACAAAGCAGTGACAAGGGTTTGATTTTTTTTTTTACACCCCTGTGTTTCTCATCATAGATACATGACACCAGATATTTACCTACACAGTATAGAAAAACACATTATATTCGTTTCTCACTATGTGATATTGAATCAGGCTAGATGTTTCCTGTTATTGGACATTTTACCCAACGTATTTTCATGTGGTAAATGTCAGAGTAATAAGGGAGAAAACATTTTAAGAAACATTTAATTTCTTTAAACTCAGAGGTTTGCAGACAGCAATATTACTGGGGGGGACTCTTACAGAAAAGATAAAGCAGCTTTCAAACTAAAACATGAAAAAATTTAAATGTTTAGCCCATTTGTTTAAAACCAATTTGCAAAAAATTCAGTGCAGCTACAAGAACTGCTCTAAACCCTCGTTCCCAAACGTAATATATATACAATGTAGTAAAAAGTAACCAGAAGGCACTCACTATGGGACATTTGAGTTTGAACTAAAAAAACTCAAGAAATTATATATAAAAACAGAATCAGATCTTAACTCTAAATCTCTATGTTTTTCTCACCTGTAAAGACTGTTTTCTGAGGAGCATCCATCTAAAGCGACACCTCAATGAGAATAAAACATCACATCAGAAGATTCATTCCTAACAATACCAGCCTGAATTCTGCTGAACAAATGGTCAACCATTTGGTTAAAGAGTCCATTCAAATGCTTAAGCAAACATTCAAAACAAACACAATCTGAATATGGACGTACTGAAAGGCAACATTTTAGTTTCCAAATCTTGATTGTTTTTACAAACATATATTTCTAAACAGCTGAATTTCTCCTTCTTATAAGCAAGGGAGAAATACAGCATGTTTCATTTATACTGTAAAGAATGCTGAATTGTTATACAAATCAACGGTTAGCAGACAGGCTGTACTGCATCACGCTATGTTTCATGCAGCTAAAAGAGCAGCAGAAATTGTGCACTTTATTTGGAATTTCACAAAAAAAAAGATTTTTAACCGTAAAACAGTACATATTAAAATTCTATTCCTTAAATGTGTATACAGCCTTTTAAACTTTGCAAAGCTTCAGTCGCTATAAGTTGCAGTTTTCTCTGTTTAGTATCATGGTTTTCTATAACCGATGTTATCACTCTTTAAATATGAAAGACGTTTGACTGTTTTTCTTTTTTTTTTACTTTCTATCTTTCTGTGTGACCCAGCATGCTGCTCCTATGTTTTGTTTTAACCTCAATTCTCCTTTATCCCAAATAAAGTTGCTCTTCTTTCTCCATTTTGACTCATTTGCTTCCCTTTCATCATCCCATGCAAGGTTATCCTGAGGCAGGCACTGCTTTTATGGGAACAAAGGAATGGTGGAGGTGATGGGGTAGAGGCCCTGGCTTTGCCGCTAGCCATGCCTTAATCGATCGTGTTTAAAGGCAATGTTTCGAACTGAATGTTTGAACTCATCGCCCCAACTAAACAGTTGTCGGGAATTTAATTAAAACATAAAATTAATTTATTGCCAGTTGCACTTTAAAAAGAAAAGACACTGAGAAGCAACAAAACAAAGGCACAACAAAGAGTGAGGGGAGGGAAGAAAAAGGAGGCTAATTGGCATCACTCTACTTAAAACATTTCCTTTTTCTTTTTTAACCCCATTTTCTCCTCCCCCCTGTTTCCTCTTTCTTTCCCAGCACGTATATCTGCAACGGCCCAGAGCTAAATTTCCATCACATCTTTTCTTTGCCACCGGCGCCTGGCACACACAGTAAAGGTATGCAAATACAAGAAAACAGAGACTGCAGTGTTGTTGACACACTTCACCTTGACACGGATTAGAGCCAGATAGAAGACTGGAGCTTGTTTCTCTGTTGTTTAGGTGGCATAAGTACCGCTGTGTACTTTATTGGTTCTTAGGATGTTGGAAATCACAGTAAAAGCAATCATGTCATCCATACAGTTTACCATTCACAGGACACTGAGAAACAAAACCATAGGGAACAAAAGGGTAAAACAGACAACCTTCACAGCATGAACCACATTTAAATACAACTTTATTCAGATCTCAGGACTTTTAGCTTTAATATATATATTTATATATATTATTTATATATGTATATTTATTTTCAAACAGTCTTTTTTGTAATCATTCTGTTCTGAGTGGATCATTGCTGTCTTCCAGCCTTTAAGGCCAAATGTTTATGTGTCTTTTGGCACCAGATGGGTAAATAGTGAGGATGCTGCTGTAACAGCACCTTGTGTTCCAAAGCAACATGTCTGGTAATCACAGTTCAGCAGCCTTTTTTTTTATTTCGCCCAGAGGGGCACGGAGGGTGGTGTCTCACTGAGAGTATTGCTGTTTACTTGAGAGGATCAGTAAAGAGAAGAGGATGGAGCGTCTTATCAGTCTGTAGCCCAACATGTGTCCTTTCTCCTTTATTTTCTCCATTGTCAAAGTTGCCCAGGGCTTATGTTTCTGAGCTTTGATTTCATACTGTTTGAGTTTCCAGAGGCCCTGCGGGATGAGAATCGGTTGGATGGGTGGGGGTACTGAGGTTAGCAGGGCGTATTAATGTTCAGCACTCTGTTAGCATGCTCTTCAGGACGCTGCACCTCCTGCCAATCCAGGAGCTTATGTAAGATGCTTTGAACAGGAATGGGGAAGTACATAAACCCATATGTATTAAAACTGTGTGCACACATATTTTTACGAGATACAGATGTAAAAGGGAATTGTGGCAAGTTCTCACTGCTGATGTTGAGTTATCTTGATGTTAAGCTCATAGAGATTAGCCGGCTCAAATCGTGTGCTGAGAAGGGAGCAAGGCAGCAGCGAGGAACTACCCACAGCAGGGCTCAGTTCCAGGAAAAAGGAGGTAGAAAGGGTCAAATTCAATCAGACAAAGATGTGAAGACAGCATTCGAACATGCAAACATTTGATGCTGAAAGAGGCAGAGTAAGCTGGACGGTGAGGATACTGAAATAAAGAGGAAAGCTGTGGCTTTTTCATGCTGGTTGATGCATTTGAGACACATGGAACTTTGTATTCAGGCCAGCAGTTCAGAAAAAGGACCTTCAAGCAGACGTCAGGCATTCGGTTTGAGCTGCTGCCTAACCTATAACGTATGCGGCACAGATGCTCTGCATTTATTTATTCTTTCTGAGAATTGAAACCAGCCACTCTTGCATTTCCTGATACATGCCACTGATATTAGCTTGATGAAAGTATGAAGACAGATACACTTATAAACAAATGGATGGGACATTGGTTTGTAAAATCAATGCTAATACAAAGCAAACATAAACAATAGAAGACAGAAGAACAGAAGGCATGAGACAGAATAACAACATTCATGATGGCCACAGGTGAATTTGCTGCCTGTTCCCTGTTGATATTTTTGTCGACGACTAGAGTTTGCACTGCAAACACAAATTTAACAGAGATGAGCTATCTCCTGCTGAAAAGTGTAAAAAAAACTAAGAACTTTGCAGATATGAAGAACTTTGTTTTTGAAAATATTTACACCTTTTGAAAATGTACACGGTTTGTAATGTTAGAACCTCATTTTAATTTAAAGAAATGCATAAATATGTGAAGAAGAAGAAAAACTATAGAATTTAAAAAAAAATTTTCTTCCAAATACAAATCTGTGTCAGGCAATTGGATTTGGTTCCCTGAGTCAATACATAATGGAGCCACCTTGTGCTGCAACCAGCAGCAAGTCATTTCTTGTGTATCTCTACCAGCTTTGCGAATTTAAAATCTCTAATTTATGCCCATTCTAATCAGCAAAATAGCCCAAACTGAGTCTGGTTGTGAAGAGGACATATCAACAGCATTTCTCAGATCTTTCATCAGATTCTAAACAGATTTTATTTCAAGACGATTTAAATGGTTCTATGATTATGCTCCAATCTAATTCATTCCAAATTAGCCGTGAATGTGTGATGATTAACCAGTGTTTCAGTTTAAAACTTATTGAATCTCCAACAGGATTTTCTCAGTAGTTTTTTCCTGAGCGCTCCACAGCAAGATACTGCCATCACCATGTTTCATTTATTACTATGTCTTTCTTTCCGGTTATGCCGTATTCCTTTCCTTTTCAGATAATGGACCTCATTATGCTCTGAGTGATTGTCTATCATTTTATGACATCATCCTGCTTTTTAAATTTCTCCACATCTTTATCTTTGACCGGTCTGCTGTGTTCCTTGCTATTGATACTTTCTATCACAAATATGGTCTCCAATAAACCTCTTAGGTTATAACATATATATTGTATACATATTTATATTAAATTGAACACAAGGTGCTTTAAAAGCTGACTTCTAAAGGCAAATATCTGCACCAGACTGTATTTGGAGGGATCCAATTAAAGTAGGTTCATAAACATTTGAAAAATAAAGTAAAAAATCATTCCACATTATAATTATGCAATACTTAATACTACTCTATTAGGAGTTCTAAAAATATATGAAACCATAAATGTCATTACAATTTGTGAGATATTGCAAACCCTAAGGACTGTTTGACGCTTAGGTTAAACTATTTCAAGAATGATGCATTTACGCTCTGCAGCCTAATAACTGCCACCTGTAGGGACTCCCTGCTACTGTATGTCAATTCTGTTTGACAGGCTGGAAAAAAGAGACGCATGAGGAGGATGTACCTCTGTTGCATCAGTATCATCATTGCAATATTCAACAATATAGAATATTAAATCTTACATTTCATTTACGTCTCATAAAATTATAAGATAGAATGAGGTTTGTAATTTCAATGTGGCAAAATGTGTAAAGGTTTTAAGGGTGACAAATGTTTTTCAAGGTAATTGTCGTAATGCTAGTTTTTGTGCTAACGCTAAGTAAGCAAAGTGACACGCTGGTACAGGCCTTATGTGACTGCCCCCACAGACAGGCTTTACATTGGCCATTCACTGCCATTTGGGTCCACATGGGACAGCAGCATGCTGTTTCAGCTCCTTCCTGTGGACCTATCTGTTCTTTATCACCAATGTCACAGTACATTGGCACCAAAATGGATATCTGATACCTCAGTTTAATGGTTCCTCACACCTGTCTTGTGAATGTTAATTCTAATTAACCAAAAAGACATTGTGTCCTCATAAATAGCACACTAATAACCTTTCAGCATGAAAACATGTTAAGCGGCTGATTTATTTTGTTGCTGTCCGCTGGTGTCCCTGATATTGTTTGTGTGAGTAACATGAGACGGGTCAGCCAGTGGTCATTTATCTCAATGAGAGCAGTTAACTCAGGAGCTAAACTGGCCACTCGCCCGATGGGAAATTATCAAAACAATCCTCCTGAAAGACTTCTTATCCTTCTTCCCAGCGACTTGTTTTTAGGAACAAATTTGGTGCTCTTGTTGAAACCTTAATCACATCTAAAAGAGATTAAATTATATGTAATTATTATGATAAAATTTTCATTCATTCAAGATAAGTGGGTTTACTTTGGTGAATGCAGTATTTGCCAAGGGAGAGAGCAGTCTCCCTCACACAGTCAAAGTTATCAAGGCGTGAAATCAGGAATCCTGACGGCAACAAAATGTCATCTTTTTTATACAGAAGGGACAATTGATGGAGCCGCATACATCATGTCTCGTTCTCCATTGTAATTAACAGAACTCTCTAAATCTCTGTATCTCTCACCCCTCTACCTTGTACTTTCTCTCATCAGTGTGGAGGTTTCAAGTCTGTCTCAGCATACCATCTCATTATTTCCTTCACACCAAGCTTGTCTTAAGCCCTGGCCTTGAAATGCTGCCGAGCAATCTCTTTTTATTTGAAAATTTTGTTTGGAGGGAATTTAACTCAGGGATATATTGGGATTGGATTTTGCCAGCTGAAAACAGTTTATTAGTAATATGGAGATGGGATGTTTGAATCAGAAGACACATAATAAAGTTTTGGCACATAGAACGTCTGCCCTTGGCGTTACTCTAAAATGATGCTGTGGCTGGTTACACACCACATTCATCTGCACTTTGTGAGCAAATGAATACTTTATGTTCCCCGTGGTCTGTTTAAATCATCTTTAGAGAGCACAATGTTAAACACGACATGATAATTATCATAAACGCTGAATCTGTCTGCAGCTCTCTGATGTATTACTGGACCATTTAAAAGCCTGCTTTTAATTCACGCACTGCTGTTTGACTTTGCAAAAGAGCAAAATTGTAAAGGGTGATTAAAAAGGACATTCAGATAAGGATTGGAAATTACTATACGGTTGGTGGAATGCGGCCTAGATGATAAGAGTTTAGAAGCAGGACTGAGGTATGAATGTATTGGTTGATGGTTCCAGAGTTTTATTGTTAGTTCAGGATGTTTCTTAACTGCATACTGTTGTTTGCATATATGTTCTTACATCTTACAATGGTCAGGCTACATGTTTTGTTTTGTTTTAGGGTGTCTTGCTGCCTCTGCAACATTTATCACTTGGGTTTCCTCTTCACTTGTTCAGTCACACCCCCCTCTGTTCCTCTCTCCTACCCATCATGTCTCCTCTATCCTGAGGGCAGGTAGGGCATCTCATTATGGTAATTGTAGTCCGGGCAAACCTTCTGCACTAGGCGATAGTCTGTACTGTAGAAGGAAATATAGATACAGATGACTTTAAAAGGCTTGGAGCAAATCCAAGACACATGGCTCTGGATCTGCTCCTGAAAACAGGTCTTGGATGGATCATAGTTGCACAATGAGGTGCGCTTGCTTCGATCCACTTTCTCATAGTCCACACGGCAGTTGAAGATCTTGGAGTCCTTTGGGTAGACAACACTCTGGCGCTCCAAGTCAAACTCCACAGCCTTAACAGGTGGAACCAGGCTGACCGAGATGTTGCCCTGGCCCGTTGAGTTGTGACGAAAGTATACACTGAAAGTGCCGTTGCCATGATCCACTATCTTGCCAGTGATGAGCAAGTTGAGCCTCACCGTTTTGATGTTGGAATAGAAGTCTCCCCAGCCAAACATCTTCTTAAACTTGCCAGTCTTGACAATGGGCCGACGTTTGACCCTGGAGCTGGAGGTGTCAGGTTTAAGCAGATCACTGCCTAACATCTCCCAGAACTCTTGTTTGGAGAACTCCTGCTTGGAGAAAGGGACAGGGGAGCGGTAAGGCAGCTCCAAGGAGGTGGAATTAGCCGCTCTGCTTTTACTGTGCTGCATCCATCGACTCAGGGGTGAGTTAGAGGCATGCCCACTCAGAAGGCCCACCGTCTTAGAGGAGGCCTCTGAAGAGCTCTTGGGGTTTGAGGAGCCATCTTCTTGACCCATCGCCACCTTGGAGTAGTTGGTTGAGATGAAGATAACAGTAAAAGAAAGAGAAAGCATTCGTTAAAAGAATGAAAAAAATACGTAATCGATAGTCAATTTACTGATTGTCTTAGAGAAATGGTAACTTATATGTATGATTAATTTTATCAATGACATTTAAAAGGAGCTTAAAAGTGGCATATTTTAACATTTTTACAATCTTTAATTTACCTTAACATCAGGAGAAAATAGCTACAATACAGTTCCTTGAACATATTGGTCTACTGTCAGGGTTACAGGAATCAAAGTACAGCCTCTCAAAGAAAATGTACACCTAAACTAAATTCAGATGGAGTATATTGCTCTGGTGGTCCTTCTCAGCTGAATCAATAGTTGTTAGAGTAGGTAATTTTCTTCAGAAGTGCTGTGAAACAATAAAGAACCTTAATTACAAAATGTTTCTTTGACAGCAGAGGTTTACAGGTTGATTTATGCAGTCAGAGTAAACAAGTTCATTTACAGCTTTAACCTTTACTAAATCTCAATTTAATTAATAGTGCATTCTCGGACACACACCAGATCTGAAGAATGTACACTACTGTTAAGGTACCTGATATAATTTCAATATTTAGTCTTATTTTATAGGCTTTTATCAGCAGGTGACATCAGGACTTTGTAACATTTTCTGGCTTCAGTTTGTCAGATATCTAATAACAATTTACGGTCAGATCTATACTTTGACTCTTGCTAGGCTGTCTTAAAAGGTTTTTATTGCTGTTGATGATGTTATCCCCTGTAAGAAAAATATTTCTTAGATCATGACGATACTGCCAATTTGTCAATTAAAGTTTATGCTTAATTGGTAATGCAATCTGCAATTTCTTGGCAAAGGAAACTCTCACCGTAAAGTTAGACTTTGATTCATCAGCCCCTTTCTCATTAATCAACAAGGCTTTAGAGATTTTTTTATCATAAAAGGTGTGTGATGGTGTGCAGTCAACCAAACAGAATTTTTTTACCTTTTTCCTGTTTTTTAACATATTTCCCCGAAAATATATATAAATCTACAATTTCTTTTTTCTTACTATTCAACCTTTTTTATCTCACACAAGTTTTCCTTTTAGCAGGGGTGTGTATGCATAAAACCTTGAATGACAAAGACTCCAAAAGGGCCATATACTCTGGAGAGTTTCTTGTGTGTGAAAGTGAGCTTTCTGCTTCTTAAGCACTGCGATCAGCGTTCAGAGGAAGCTGCTACTGCCTTGGAAAATTTTGTCAGAGGATCAAAGAGTTAGGGGAAGGGGAGGTGGGCTTGCAGGAGGGCCCAAGAATAAAGTGTAATGTCCAATTAAGACATCCAGTGTTCTAATTAAAGAAAAAAAAATCTACCGGCACATAAACAAAGCTGTCAGATGTTAACATCACCTGGGGGGAGGGGAGGAGGACAGAAGGAGAAGAGATAGTGCCGCTGTGCTCAGCAGTAGCTTTGTGAAGAGTGTGTAAATGTGTGGCTAAGTAATAGATAATTATTCAGCGGTATTGATCTATTAGCAGGTATCTTTTGTCTAATGTTTCAAGGAAGGATTCAGTATTGTTGAATACTCTGGGTTTGGAGATACACATACAGGAAGACACAATGAATTCTGAGCTGTATAAATGCAAACAATAAGTGATGCAAATGTAATATGTGTGTGCGCTTCACTTGAATAGATTTTACAGTGATGCATAATGCATGCATCGCTGTCTGTGCTCTGATCCAGTGACTGTCTTGACTGCCAGAGGTTCCTTATATAGGCTTAGTCAGGATTATTATGTCTGACTCATTTTTATTCCATTTTCTGCAGGTTTTTCAGGCTCAGTCACATTAGTTAACTTGCAACACAGTCAGTCCGTGGTATTGATTTTCTGTCTCCGTAAAAACATGTATTTCCTTTCATTAAGATAGGCATTGCATTTCAATTGCCATGAAAAGATTACCAGTGATGTGGTTGTGGTCTTATGTTTGAACTTAGTTGAGAACACTCTTGTTTTTTTCCCTTATTCTGGATTTATTCCCTCAGGGGCTCCGTAGGCCAAACGTCCTAGTTACCTGTCTGTCACTGTGCTAAGTTCTGGTCCTTTAGGTCCCCACAGGCACCAATAACACCCCTGACAAGGACTTCTTTCTCTTCCGCCAGCAAGATTTCATTGTTAATTTGAGAAAAACAGACTTGATTCAAATTGAAATAGTTTGAAATAGGGCGTAAAGATTAGGGCATTGCCCATGGCTTCTACTGGCTAATTTGTGTTTGATTGGTTTTCTTGTTTACGTAGTACCTACTGGGAAGCACTTATCCACTGCTGTTTGTAATAAAAACACCTTCTGTAATGGTAAAATTACTTGATATTTTTATAATGACCCTTAGATCTACAATCACTTTGTGATTAATTGGGCGGGTGTCTCTGTGCCAACGGTTTATACTTCTGGTTTCACTTTAAGCATGTCTTCAGCCTGGATCCCAAAACGCTGAGCACAAGAAATAATAGAGCTAGTGTTGTTCTATTGTTGAACAGAAGACTTAAGTGTCTGGCACCGCTGGAGGTGTCAGATTCAGTACCCAGCATCGTTGTGAAAGACAAATGTTACACTGAGCATAATATAGCTAAGGAAAAGCCTGAGTTGTTGCAGTAATAGCTAATGCTGCAAAAAAAAAAAAAAAAAAAAACATGTTTAAAGTAAAATTGGTTGTAATGTTTTATATATTTTAATATGCATGTTCCTATGAAAGAAGTATCCTGTATTTTTTGCCATTTCTGTGCAAAAGCAATTTTCTTTAGTGAATATTTTAACAAGCTCTGCTGCCCTTACTCCACTCTGGAAAAACTGCATACTGCTACAACTATTTTGCCTCTCTGCGTTTAACTAGTAAAGTATATGAGCTGTAGTATCCAACTATCAGCAGTCTTACAACTTCTGCTCTGTAAGCAAATTGAGATGGTAAAGAATAGGGTTAAAGATTAATGCACTTTTTTTTTTTTTTTTACATTAACAGAATGTTTTGACGTGATTTCACAGACATTATTTTATTTACCAAAATGTCTGTGCTTTGGATATATTTTGGATATAAGTCTTTTTTTTTTCCACATCTCAAACAGGGTGGGATAAAGTCATCCTTCAATGACAAATTAACTGGACACATGGTGCAGCGGCCCTTTGGAAATGCCAGAACAATTTTATGTTGCAGTAAGTTTGTTGCATTTCATAGTACTTGGTCAGACTTATTGGCACTCTAAGTACTGCAGGCAAAGTGTGGGCGATGGGCAGTCGGGCTTCAGAGAGGTGGCGGAGGTTCAGGGCGATTCTGTCATTTGTCATGTGCGCAAAGTGAGTCAGGGGAACGGCTGGAGAGGAAGGGAGGTGACTGTGGGCTCTGTCGTTTTGGTAATTGTGAGTCATTCAGGCTCAGTGAGCACGGGCCTGAGGCCTTTCTCCCAGCAGGAAGTTCAGGGAAGAGAACGCTTGTCATAAGCCTTCCTGCTTCACTGGCAATAATCCGCCTGTTGAAGTGACAGGTATCCGATTTTTACACTTTTCCCTGGGGTGACAGATGTGCGCTGTTGTGATACAGAACAGAGATCACAGGTTGAATTAACCAAAATCTGTGTTATTAGTCTTAGAGAGCATTGAGACCTGTCACAGACTTGTAGATTAAAGACTTCTGAGCCTGCATGTTGCGTGAGTACTGTGCAGTCTTCTTAGTTCATCCCATCAAACCTTCTTGTGATCATCTTAAATAGTATTTCTTGATGTTTTACCAGACTTTCTAAATGTCTTTAAATTCATTTTTCAGTCTGTAAACTTTTTACAACACATGAGTTCAAGAACGATGCCCTTTTAATGCCAACCTAAAGATGTCATTATTACACACCCATCAAAGCCAGTGCAGTTGCTCAAGGCCCATTTCTTCAGGCGGTTTTACCTGCTACCCAGTCTAATCTCCAACGATTTTGCACTCAGCCTCACAACCCTGACTGCAGTCATGTGACTTTAATGTTTGGTTAAATGTGAGGTAGCTCCCAGCCAATTGGGTTGCTATAAGATTTTGCTTAAGATATTTCATCTTCTTGTTTAACACCGCTAGGGCAGCACCTTATCTTTTAAGCCTTTTAATAACCAAGTCTGTTTATTATATATATATATATATATATATATATATATATATATATATATATATATATATATTTGTTTATTCTCTGTGGCTCCCTGTGAGTCCCTGGAATACAAGAAAGATTTCCAAGATGTCCCACAAGTTTAACTAGGTTGGCAGTATCAGCTCATGCCCATCTATTAGTGCATGCAGAGTATTTTTAAACTAAATGCACACATTTGTCCAGGGGCTTTTGGCAAGTGGTGTGTGGAAGCAGAGCTTGATTACAATCATTTTTGTGCATATTGTAGAAATTTTGAAAACTAAATTCTGGAAAGATGTTTGTCATTCCTGTCAAACTTTTAGGGAAACTCAGCTACAGATAGTAATGCTGTGTTGCAAGTAACAGCACACATGAACACATGAAGATTCTTTAGAATTCAAGTTTGTGGTTCCCCTGTGAGGGCAAACACCTGGAGGTACCCTCGCTGTTATACCTGTAAAGGGACTTGTGCATAGATATTTTCTCATTAATTGATTAACAGGCTCAGGGGTCTTCAACCCTGGTTCTCAGGACCCTGCATGTGTTGGAACTCTCTTTCTTCCAGCATGCCTAAATCAAATGATTGCATCACTTCCTTAGCAGTCACCAAGAGCTGAGGAAGCCTGTTAAAAAGCCTTTTAGTTAAATCAGAGGTTTGGAGGCAGGGAAAAAACTTAAAATCTAGTTTGTTCTGAGGACTGTGGTTAAAGACGTTAGGGCTAGCAAACTTTTTAGAAACTTCTCATTTATTTTTACTCTTATACAGAAGCAACATTTAGTTCCTATGCTCCGATTATCTGGAATAAAACTCCCAGTAGACTGTAAAAGTACCGAAAGCCTGAGTCAAAAAAAACTAT